CTTTTGGACTTTATGTTTGTCGACAGGAGGCGATCTCATTCCTAGCGTCGAAGGGACCTGAAAGTATGTAATGGTGTACAACTCTAGTCACCCGACAATTTAGGAGGCAAGGCACGACGCATTTAATCAAACATAGACCAGTTTTTATCACCAGCAGAGGGATGGGCGGGCCATGATCGCTCGAGATTCAAAGTGACAACGTGGTTATCCTAATCAGATATTGTGCCATATTGGCCAAGGGAGGAACTTTTGATGAGCGAGAAATTCTTCCAGAGTTTTCGGTTCTGAAAGATGCATGAGATTTTTTTTTGCCATATTAGGCCCGAGTTGATTAATGTATTTCATCAGGACAAATAAACACCAGCGCATGCGCAGTTCAGCTGGGTAAAATTGTGCAAGAAAAGGCAATATGGAAAAAAAATGAAAAGGCTTTGTAAAGTTGTATACGAGCAATGATTCGATGAGCAGTAATTTAAACGATGCACTTTAATACTCTTCAGGCTAGAGATTAAAACCAGTCAGTAGGTTATGGCTAATATTGTTGAAAACGTCTCTTAAAGGTAACTCATGTTCGTCTCAAAAACTTTATATCACTGTAATTAAAAGCTAAACATAATTTGCATACTAGTAATTACATAAGCAAAATAATATCAGATATTGTGTAAGATTGTTTAGATATGTTACATAAGAAAACTACATCGCTCCATACAGCCAGGAATGGATTATTGAGAGGAAATCCATTTGGATAAATATATAAAAAAAATTTAATGTGTTTCTTTTTATTGAAAACTCCCATTATACGTTAAGTAAGTATTCTAAATATAAATCAAAGAATTAAATTCCGATGAAATTTGAACTTGTATCAAGTAGGTCTTTAAATGACCAAAATAGCTCCTTACAGAGTCGGCACTAAAAGCTAACTAGCAGATGATTTAAATTTAGTCATACAGATATATTCTTGATTATTACCCCTTTATTGTATGTTTATGCATATTAATAAGTAATGTTATATTGTTAGTTTGAATTTCCAAGATGAGGTATAGTTATTAAGAAAGGCCCATAAGAATGAAAGGAAGAACAATTAAATAAAGAATGTTTCATTTAAGAAATGTTTACATCTTAAGAAAATCTCTTTTTGATTTTGCTAACATTTATTTTAACCTAAGACATTTCTTGTTATTTGGTTTTTAAGTTTTATTTTAAATACATTTCCTTCAGAAGTGTTTCACCAAGCAGATGACTGGCAAAGAATAAAAGTAAATAAGGATCATATATTATTTTTCACACATAATTGCCATGACTTAAATAACATGATCCAATAGAGAATTAAATAAATTTTCACCAATAACACTTTGAGCCAACTTAATGAAACACCCTATATATATATATATAAAATTTTGAGGTATGTTATATTTATGAGTTATAGTGCTCAATATAAGAGAGCGTATGCAACTATAAAAGTGAACATTGAAATAATCTCTCAACGGTGTGAAGATGGAACATGTGGTTGACCCATTTCATTCGAGTGGTTGAGGATGAATTGCCACGTGTGTTCGCGAGTGGACAAAAGCAAGGCCTGATTTACTGCGTGCAACAAAGCCACAGTGACAGATAGGGCTATCATTGAGTGCAGCAGCAAGCTACTTACTTGTTTAATACTTGCACGCAGTTGATACCGATATTTATATATATAAAAGCTAGTGTGTAGCCCCAAATTCTGACAGTCAGGATGCTGAGAGAAAAGACATGTAAGGCAAGCACTCTTTGCAGTAAAATGCAAAGAGATAGAGCATTAATAGAATGAAGAGTATTAAAAGATTTGTCACTTAGCTCATTGATATTACCTTTAGAATTCCGACTCTAAAGTTTCGTACCTCTGACGAGTGAACGGTGTGATATCCAGAGGTTCCGTCTACGAAACTCTGAAGCAAACATGCTGAAGGCAACATCTCCTTTTACTGGTATTAATTATATAATTGTTTGTGCGTGTGCATTTAGGTAGCATATATTCATTCAAAATATGTTTTATTAGATAATATAAAAATAGTATGTCTACTTATTTTCATAATAATCTTTTCTATTTCTCTAATCGGCTTCTTGATTTAAGCTGAAATTCAAGGAAAGCGCTGTAGTTTTTTCTTACCTGTATCAAAAGCAACCGACCAACACTGAACAACATTTATTACAAGTGTAGCAGCAGTTTTGAAGTGCATTTGACCAACATTCAATGTTATTTTGCATTTCTACAATTTCCGATCAGCTCCCTTACAAAGGGGCACTTGTTTTGTTTGTCTTTGAAATACACTCCTGAGGATGAGCTCAGAGGAGATCGAAAGTACTTGGGTAAGCAAAAATTACGGCGCCTTCCTTGAGGAATTTCAACTTAACATCAGAAACCTGATTAGAGAACTAGAAAGGATTATTATGAAAATAGACATAATATTTTTATATTATTTAATGAAACATTTGATATATATATATATATATATATATATATATATATATATATATATATATATATATATATATATTACTTATGATTGCAAAAGATACGCAGTTTTTACCCTATACTTAATTGAATGATTTTTGTTATTTGATTTCAGTCTTCTGTCTTTTCGGTGAGAGACAAAGGAAACAGAATTCTTTTTACGGATTAACTTTGTTTTCTTTGTATTAGAGATGATCAGACAGCAAGAAGTGAGGTATTTAATACTTATTACAAACGAAGTCATTGTCAGTAACATTCAAATGAAAAACAGAACAAACAGATCACTCTTCAGTTACATAGGAAAATGCTTCAACTGTCATCAAATGAATTATGTACCACTCACTCGGAAATTATCATTAAGGATTTTTATTTTACACAAAAAGGGAAAAGAAAAGATATCTTAACTAAAACTCAAATAAAGTTAGTAGTTAAAAATAAATTCTCTTTGTAAATAAGTTGTATAATATATTTCCAAGTTGAATCATACAAATAATATCAATTGTTAATGGATGTAGATGCATATATATATATATATATATATATATGTTTTAATAACAAGTTATTTTAAAATTTTAGACCAGCAACTGTATTGCAACTGAAGAAAAAATAGGCTAAAATTCTGCTTCATTCTTGAATAAAGTCACACCTTTCTGTCAGATCAATAGCTAAACTCGAAAGAAATTTAAGATTTGTTTTTCTGTAGCCAGAATGTCCAATGTTAATTCAAAACAAAGGATTTAGCTGTCCTTGAGATTATCAGTTTTTTTTTTATTTACTTTACAGAGTGACTGAATAGTAACTCCCTATTTAATGTATGATGGCCCCTCTCGTCTTGTAAAAATTAGAATTAGACGAGAGAGCCCGTCATACATAAAGTAGGGAGTTACTTTTCAATCACCCTGTATAATATAAAACACAAAGTGACTATATATATATATATATATATATATATATATCGTTTACGCATCCGGCTCTTCCATATTTGCCATAATAATATATTCCACTGTCAGAGTAATGAGAAGTATTACCAGACGTTGACGTAACTTGTATTCACAACATAACAGCCAAATATTTCTGTTCTCTTTGTGGTTACTATCAGAACTATCGATTGTTATAACCTACGGTTTTCTTGAGGTGTCTGTCGATCCTGGTAAACTTCACAGAATTTCGAATGAAGCTAGAGTGTTGTCATTCCATGTTTTGGGATATATCGCCTTTGTTTATTTTCCTTTTTAGTACTGCTTAGTTATTGCAAATCATATTCCCACTGAGGAATCTGAGTAGATCCACACTACTCGTCTCAGGTATTGAACTCACGATTACTATGCTAACAAATTCACTAAGCAACGCTTTAATCCTTTAGCATACTGTGCGAAAGACCAGAAACTAAATTGTTCAACAATTAGACCTAATGTTCTTATTGCCACCATTGCCGAAAACTTGCTGTAAATCTTAGGTCTCTCCGTCGTTATTTCTCTTAGATTAAATAAAGTGTTCATTTCGAAATTCACTGAAGTTTATCCAGAGTGACAGACACCTGAAAAAGGCCGGAGATCACAAAAGCCGAAATATTTGGATGATAACAATAACGAAGCTAATTATCTCATTAGAATGTAGGAGAGATCATGCTGCTATACATTGATGTTTTTAAAGTTTATTTTGTCTTCACGATTAACGCTTTTAAATGCAGAGTTCTTTTTACAGTCGATAACAGAATTAGATAAAAAAATCCCTGCTTAACAGAGATCTAACTCAATGAGAAAATTCTTTTAGTATTATCATTTTTGGATGATACGAATAAAATAGTTAAAAAGTAATTTTCTAATAAAGTACCAACGTTGTAAGTTTTAGTTGAGGCTTTTCTGTCATTAGAATACTCTCATTTAAATAGTGAAATGATAATGAATGAAATAATTGTTCAGTATTAATTTATGTTGAATTATAGAATAATCGTATGTTATTTTAAATACAATGCATTTTATCATAGGATTCATTTTCATTCTTATGATTGGCACTATTTTCTAGTAATTCAAAATATCTTACTTAGGACGTCACAAGACATGAGAAATCAAACTCTAGGAAGATTTTACCATTGGCGAAACTAAGATAAACCTTTTGTTTCGAAACCATTTTACAGTTTAACATGCTTCCCGACTTCGATAATAAAACTAACCTGGTTCAATGTAACAATCTAATCTTAGCCATCATAGTTTTTAAAATCTTTACTACATTTGCTAAAGATTTATTCTCAAGTTTTGCGATGATTCTCCAAATCCAAAGAAACATCTTTATTCATTCGTGATTATAATTGTTCTATCAAAATTTCCTAATGAAATGATTTTCATTTGGAATACTTATTTCGTTAACACCCTAATTATTTAGCCTTCAGCAACAGATGGATTCATTTTTCAGTAAATATATTTGTATTCTGTTTTGAAAACCTACAGTCAAGTCAGATAACTTTGATAATGAGATCAACGTTGTCTGTAAAATTAAATACTTTCTTAAAAAAACAACCTTTCATTGCCAGCAAAGAAGGAAAACAATTTTACAAAGTTTAAAAAAAAATCAAAAATGCTTTTTATTTTCAGAAATTTCCATTCTGACTTAGTTTTTAACTACCTAAAATATTTCCCACTACGTAAATGATATTTTCCTTTACGAAAAGATTCTGGTATTGAGTTAAAAGATACTTCTAATACATAGTTAATTTCCGTAGACTTGCAGAAGTTAAGCGATGTCGAGCCTGGTCAATATTTAGATGGGTTAGTTCTAGGGAATGCTAGGTGCTGTAAGATTGGTGTGAAGGTGTTATAATAAATAAAACCAAGGAAATTGGAGAACCGGGTTCAAATTATAGTCGTTATATTCACTTACGCGCAAATACACAAAATATGAATTCACCTCTCCTCCCGCAGCTACGGGTTAAATAGAAGTACTTGAGTTAGTAAATAATTATTATCAACAAAACATTCTTACAATCCAAAAAATATTTCTGGATTTAAACCTGCAAAAATTGATAAGCCTTGAAAAATCAATCAATTCTGTAATTGCATTGGCTTATTAGAATATTATCAAAGTTAGCCATAAGCAATTTAATATTGATTTAAATAGGAATTCAATTTGCTATCAAAGTTACTGGCAATGTCGAGTGACTTTGCTAACGGAAAAAATAAATAATAAGCAATTAAAAGACATTATTATTACCTATGATATAGTTTCAGGCAGGGAGTTATTAAAACAAAAACGGTTACCCTAGGATATATTGTTGACTAAAAGAGTTAGCGAAAGTGCTGAAAACCTATCAAAGTTAACCGACTTGACAGTACATTGTTCTTAAAATCTCCTAATCCAGGCTTAATTATTTTAAAAAAAATTTTGTGTATTAGATACTTAATCCTTAAAAGAAAAATATTTAATATTTGTTCGCGTCCATTGATTACAGAAAAGGTTTTTGTACTGATTACCGATCGTATTTATATTACAACTACTGTTAGAGCTTTCAAATGTTAAATATGACATCGTCATTTGATATAGTGTCAATAAATTCTGTATGAGAATTTTTAAAGAAAATATAATCGGCCTGGAGTGCTTCAGAGGCGACTGAATACAAAGAGTAATTCTGCACCTGTTTTGTTCAGTAACTCACCAGAACTTCATTTCATAAAATCAAAGAAGCTAACATCAGAGTGCGTGAAGCGCTTTTCCTTTGAACTTTTCTTGTAAGTAAAAATAGATAGATAGATAGATAGATATATAGATTTCTTACCGGTTCCCAGCCGTTCTGTTCTTTAGACCTCCTCATCCGACGGCAAGACTTTAGATATGTCCGGATCCGTTTTCGCGACCTTTCGTGAAATTCAGGGAATTGTCTGTCACATGCTTCTAATATCGCCTGGATTTTATCCTTGGGCTGTTTCGATATGGGCACCATTCTATCAAGATTCTCGTCCACGAATAAACGGACAAACATCTGTAAAGAGAGAAAATAGTTGTTAAAACTTGCAATTTAAAAGAACCAATAGATATTATCCCAAATGAGGAAAACTATTTTATCATAATTCTAGAGATAAACGGGGAGTATGAACATAGTTTTTGTGTGTGTGTGTGTGTATATATATATATATATAGAGAGAGAGAGATATGTATGTATGGATGATGCATGTATACACTAATGTGTATGTATGTATGTATGTATGTATGTATATATATATATATATATATATATATGAGTATGTCTATATATATATAAACACACATGTGCCTGTGTATGTATGTATATATATATACTGTGTGTATATATATATATATGTGTGTGTGTATGCGTGTGTGTACATCTATATGTGTGTACGTGTATATGTATATATATGTGTATATATATATATATATGTTTGTGTATGTATATATATATGTGTGTGTGTGTGTGTGTATGAGTATATGTATATATATATATATATATTATGTATGCGTATGTGTATATACACAGTCAAAGACGAACCTATTCGTACATCCATCAATTTTGAATATTTTTATCCATTTCTTAGAATCTAATGCCCGTACGATGCCAGGTTTTTTATATGTTAATAAGCACAAAAAAAAAAAAAAAAAAAGAATATAAAACTCAATTTTCAGAGAAATAGTTTAAATACAACAAATCTGACAGGCGAATTATGTAAAATAGGAAAGATAAAATTATTCGTACAGTATGAAAAACATAATAAAATTGAACAATTTTCACATCATTAATAGTCAATAGCATGGCCTATCATCTTTATAAATTGATTCAGTCATTTTCTAAAGCATTTGATGAGATTTGAACAAGACGTTTCTAGGCTTTCCTTCCTTTCTTCAATGGTTACAAAATCTAATTCCTGAAGGTATTTTGGTGACCGACGATTTATTCGAACTTTAAATTCATGTCATAGATTTTAAATAGGATTGAAGTCAGGACTCATTGAAGGCCATGGCAGAACAGTAATCTTCTTTTCTGGAAGCCACGCAGTCACTGATTTAGACGAATGTCTGGGATCATTATCTTGCTGGAAAGTAAATCGCCGACCTAGATGAAGATTTTGCACTGATAGTTGTAGATTTTCATCCAGAATTTTAATATAGTCTGCAGATTTGATTATTCCTCTTATTGCAACTAATCGTCCAGTTCAAATTGAGCTAAAACAAACCCAAAACATCATCGAGCCACGCCCATGTTGCCACTGTATTCTTTGGGAGGAAATCCCCAACTTTGTTGCACCAAATCTTTTGTACATCATTACGTCCAAAAAGCTCAATTTTTTACCTCATTCCATAGTAGTTGTTCCCAAAAGCAATTTTCTTTGTTCAAGAACGTTTTGGCAAAATTAAACCGAACTACAATGTGACATGGTTTGTGAAGAGAGGGTTCATCGTGGTCAGTTTCTATACAACCCATTTCTATTTAAACAATGTTGTATTGTACGAGTACTTACGGTGGATTCCATCGGATCCAAACTTTTGGCGATATCCTTCAAAACAACTCTTGGGTTGATATTAACCTCAGGACACAGTTTTCGTGCAGTTCTCGGTGAACATTTGGTTTTTCTTCCACGCCCAGGCAAATTCTCTGCTGTGCCAAATTGTTTAAACTTCTTTATAACGGACTGTACCGTAGATCTAGGGATAGCTAACTGACTTGAAATAGTGCTGTAACTATTTCCCGACTTGTGGAACTTAATAATTCTCTGTCTCAAGTCAACACTAAGCTCCTTTGTCTTCCCCATCGTGTTGTTAACGTAAGAATAACAATGGTGACGCTTTCTGCACCACGTGATGTTCTGATGTTGCTGGAATTATCATAAATATTCTAGTGAATAAATAGTCTAGAAGGCTTCACCGATAAAATAATTATGTAAATTACTTGTACTTACACGAATCAATCAATTTAAAACGATATTTTCTACAGTACGAATAATTTTGTCTTTTCCTGTTTTGCATAATTCGCCTGTCAAATTTCTTGTATCTAGCCTATTGTTCTGAAAATTGAGTTTTATTTTTATTTTTTGTGCTTATTATCATATAAAAAACTTGGCATCATACGGGCATTAGATTCTGAGAAATGGATAAAAATATTCAAAATTGATGGGTGTACGAATAATTTCGTCGTGGACTATATATATATATATATATATATATATATATGTGTGTGTGCCCGCCTGTCACATTTGTTGTATCTAGTCATTTGTTCTGAAAATTGAGTTTTATATTACTTTTTGTGCTTATTAACATATAAAAAACCTAGCATCATACGGGCATTAGATTCTGAGAAATGGATAAAATTATTCAAAATTGATGGGTGCAAGAATAATTTCGTTGTTGACACACACACACACATATATATATATATATATATATATATATATATATATATATATATATATATATATATATATATATATATATATGAGATACGGTAGAGTAATGGATAGCTGCTTAGATTGAGCAATCGGAGAGACGAGTTCGAAGTGCAGTCGAATCCATTACATTTCCGTGCTAAAATGGGAAAAAAGTGTAATATATATATACACGTATTATTATTATTATATATATACACGTATTATTGTGTATGTATATATATATATATATATATATATATATACACGTATTATTATATATATATATATATATATATATATATATATATATATATATACACACATATATATATATATATATATATATATATATATATATATATATACACATATAATAATGTATACAGACATGCACAGACACACACAAGTAGAGCTGATAAAAATTACTTAGACAACAGATTGAGATCGATCCTTCGGCAAAAAGTCGGGCGGATAAACTAATGAAATTAATACAATTGGAAAAGTTGGCAAATAAATAGAATCTTAAGGGAAAGTAAAAACGAATAAATAAATAAATAAATAAATAAATAAGAGATCTGCGTTCTGAAGGCCTGAATAATAAGAGTCTGTAGCTAAGGAACAAAATCCAAACAGAAAAAAAAAAGAAAAATTACCAAGTTTGAAATTGAGATGATCCACCTCAAGTATCAATTGGTGTTTACGAACCGACACATCCCTCCCAAAAAGATTTATTACGGCCTATAAAGGCAAGGATAGAATCACAAAAAATATATTAAAAAACACTGTCATGGCTTTGGGAAATGAAAATAAAAAAGAAGAAAGCAAATGACAGGAGGGTAGATAGAAAGAATCAAAGAAGGAAAAAGCTACAATAATCAGAGAGGATGTATAGAATGTAAAGTTTGGAAGAGAAAAAAAAAGGATAACTTAAGAAGGAATCAAAAATGGACAAATATTCTTTGAAGGTATGGTTAAAAAATGTATGCAAACTACAATAAATCTATTTGAAACTCGCACTAAATGCTGAAAATTTGGGGACACAAAAAGCCAACCAGAATATTCTAACATTCACAAGTCATATTACGATCAAGAAAATCAGGGAGAAACATCGTAGACTAAAAAACGTAGACTAAATAAAGGGTTTCGTTCGAAATTCAAACAAATATCACCTGAAGAAAACCGGAGCGTACAACGACTGAAACGTCGTGAATGTGACAGTAAAGATAAGGTCAACTGTTCGAATAATGTAAATGGTTTAAAAAGGAAAGCATAATAGAGAAAGAAAAAATAGAGTAATATAAAAGAATGTTTAAGTCTTGTGGCGAGACACAGGGTTGGTTTAGAAGAAGAGACTAAATGCGAGTAAAAAATAAACAATGAATATAACAAAGTGATAAAGAACGGAAACCACAATTAAAGAAGACAAAAGTGGACAGAAAAAAATCAGGCGGGTTTCGAAAATAAGACTGGCTGTATCATCTGCTTACGTTAAAGGCTTTCAATCTCTCCGTGTCGTAGTCATGACCAGAAGGCAGTTTGTCATCTTCATCGTCGTCGTTATCGTCGTCATCGTCTTTGACCGCCTGGAGGTCGTCCACAATGCCGCTCTCGCTAGCCTTGGTGGAGCTCTGAAAAAAAAAAAATTGAATGAATAATTAAAAACAAATGAAAACAAAAAAAAGTAGTGGTGTTAGTCATGCATCTTAACAGCATGCGTAGACTTAGATTATTAGCGCACACCGCATGGCAGGGAAACAAATTAGGGAAAAAAAGAAGTAAAAAAAAAAAAAGAAAAAAACTGGAAATGTCCAACTGAAATCAGATATCAACACGTAATGCAATATGGCTCTGAATAAAAAAACAAGACAAAACACTATATAAATCAAAAGAAAAAAATAATGTAGAAATATAATATAGATAATAAATAATTGAAAATACGCACACATGGTACAATAAATACATTCAAACACTAACGCTAATAATACATAATCATTAAAATTTACAAGACAATAAGTACATGGGAAAAAGTCCAAAATTCAAATAATAAAAGCTCATATATATATATATATATATATATATATATATATAGCACAGGAATGCTTAGATATATTAAAATGACACAAATATTCCCACAGATATCTTTCGCACAAACTTCAGTTCCATATGATCTTACATGCGTTTATTCAGTTTCTTGTGTGCTTGCTTACATGCGCTTATTCAGTCCCTTGTTTGCTTACATGCGCTTATTCAGTCCCTTGTTTGCTTACATGCGCTTATTCAGTCCCTTGTTTGCTTACATGCGCTTATTCAGTTTCTTGTGTTCCTACATGCGCTTATTCAGATCCTTATGTTCTTACATGCGTTTATTCAGTTTCTTATGTTCTTACATGCGCTTATTCAGTTTCTTGTGTGCTTGCTTACATGCGCTTATTCAGTCCCTTGTTTGCTTACATGCGCTTATTCAGATCCTTATGTTCCTACATGCGCTTATTCAGTTCCTTATGTGCTTACATGCGCTTATTCAGTTCCTTGTGTGTTTACATGCGCTTATTCAGTCCCTTGTGTGCTTACATGCGCTTATTCAGTCCCTTGTGTGCTTACATGCGCTTATTCAGTCCCTTGTGTGCTTACATGCGCTTATTCAGTCCCTTGTGTGCTTACATGCGCTTATTCAGTCCCTTATGTGCTTACATGCGCTTATTCAGTTCCTTGTGTTCTGACATACGCTTAGTCAATTCCTTATGTCTTACATAGCCTCAGCGGAACGAGACTTTCCTATCGATATCATGCATGACGCTAAACTCTTTCAGAGATATATAAAATGTCAACTGTGTACAACCATTTATCTTAGATCCTTGGTTAAAAATAGTTTTGAGCGAAAGAAGCCTGTAGGTTTTAGCGATGACTATTCTTCACCGAGACTTGTGCACTGGTGCTACAGAATTACAAAAAAATCATATCAAATAAGAGAAATGGCATCACTTAAAGACAACAGAAACAACTAAAATGAACTGCACATGTAACTCGAAGAGAAAATAATGACATAACCAATATTGAAACAAGTTAGGAACTTTATTCTCATCAATACCTGAAAGAGCTATAGCAGTTACTAGATTTCAATGTTCCAGAAAATTGTTTTAATAAAAAAAGATTTTATAAATTTCAAATGAGAGTAGCACTACCTGCTAACGTCAATGAATGCCTAATATGCTAATATTATAATTACAATTGCTTATATATTTAAGATTTGTTTAAACATATTTATTCTATTTTGATGTAAACGTTGGCTGAATAGAGAGACACATTCGACTCTGTACCTCCTGGTTATCTAGGAACATGAGTTGTGGAAACTATTCAATCGAGCCATGTTCGTTATTAAAATGGTAAAAAAACCCTATTCAAGAATATTTTGCGGAGCTTTGAAAAAGCTTTTGAGTCAAAGAACAGTTTGGAAAACTTCAGAATTTCCAAATGAGAACCTGGAAGAACTATTCTGATGAACTTACCAAAAAATTAGAAATCGACCTGTCAACTCGTTTAAATGATGTATGAGCAGAGAAAAGATTTTTTGGGTGTTGGTAAGGATGTCCGCTGGTTACATGATAATGTTTCTCCCCGCGTCGTAAATCTGATACAGCAAGCTGAAGCTGAGGTAGTAAACTCTTCTACGTGCAGGGAATTCTTTCTCTCTCCATATTATACTCTGGTTAGCTATTTCAGCAACTTTAACTCATCAATAATTCCACCAAAAATTAATTAGATCAACATTGATATCGTTCTTTTGTAATAGTAAACACAATTTACCAGAAAGGCGATGTAATATCAAAGTAAACCAACGAAAATGATTTGATGTCTGAATAATGATGCTATGAATTTTCATGAATAAAAGATTTTTTTTTTTTTAAAAAAGAAAGATAACCATACTCGTTATTCCTAAGCACACACACACACACACACACACACACACACACACACACACATATATATATATATATATATATATATATATATATATATATATATATATATATATATCTATCACGTTGAGGCGCTGGTTCTCGTACGATAACCGAAGTTAAGATATTCACTAACCTTCCCACGTGGTCAGATGTGGCACAAGGCCGAATTTAATGTGGAGTGAACCGATCCCGTAGGCTCGGGCAAAAATTCCCTGTAGACCCCGCACACACGGAGTCAAGTAGCTGTTCATAATCCTCGGAAAAGATACTGCCCTTTGACATAGTCTCGTCTGGGTTCCTCTCTGCTGGAGGCAGAATTTGACAATCACACTGGGAAGTGAATTCGACAGTGGATCCAAAAATCACCGAAGTCAAGAAACGTCGAGACTGGTCAGTACTTCGACGGGTGACCGCTTGGAAATATCAAGTGATTAAGCTTGTATGTGGGAGTAGTTTAATGGATAATGGCTCAGAATTGGAAATCGGAGATCCAAGATCAAATTCCAGTCAGGTGCATCAAATTCACTTTGGTGCAAATATCCTAGGCAAAGTTATGAATCCTCTTATTCACCCAAACTATGGTTTAAATAGTAGGACTTGTATCAGTAAATCATTACTATAAAATATTCTTACACTCTAAATATATTTTATGGTCTTAAATAACCCGCAAAAGTTGATAAACTGTAAAAAAAATCATTTATTCAGTACTACACATATATTTTCATTTCCCTTCCTAAACAAATGTCTATCAAAATTATATATAGTAAAATAACAATACTTATATGCAGTTCTACCAAAGTACTGACAAACCTAAATACAGGTATTTACACTATTTACATTGTTCTAACTGCTGTCCTCATATTTATTGTCATATTCCCGACGCTTCGGCTTTCTTCGGCTAATATAACTTGGAATTTCGAACCGAATTCTTTATTTTGTCCACCGAGGTAGATTGCTCTAGTTCCACGTGTCATGCCATTTATGGATATCTCAGTTACAGTTATTTCCCTTTCGGAACTCAACTCTGCAATTTTTCGCTTACCGCTGCTGTGACCGAATCGTCGTGGATATGATAATAAATATGAGGACAACAGTTCGAACAATGTAAATAGTTACAATACCTAATCTCAGAAATATACACAGATATCAGATATATATACATGTATAAACTAAATCAAGCTTATAGGAAAGTTCGTGCTATAAATATATGCATCGAGAAAACGTCATTGTACACAATATCAGTTAAAGACATATAGAAATAATATATAATTCATCGTATCTTCAAGTAGACCTCCGTTGGTCTAGGATGTTAATAGAGTTGTGCACATGCAAGGGGTTCAGGTGCAGAGTCTTGATAGGGCATTTTAAGAATGATAGTCCGTTCTACAACTTGCACAGAGGAAGTTTGATCCTGGTCTGTCACACTTTGGGATTTCTTTATTTGCCTTTTTATCTCCGACTGTGGGATAAAGATCACTTCAGACTGAAGAGGCTTTTCAGCACTGCTCGCCTCTAGCATAAGCGTTCGGAGGCTTCCCACATGCCCAGGTTGGTGCCTAGGTTTCTTAAGTCACTTTTACAGAGATCTTTCTAGCGTAGTTGGGGGTCTGCTTTCTCTAACTCAGCTCTCCGAATCCCAGGGTATTTGACCGTCGTCCATTTGTACGACGTGTCTGAACGTTTTTGTTTTAAGAGGGTGTAAATGTTGAGAATCCCATCCCTCTCAATAACGGTGTTGTGGGAAGGGGACGTTTTGTCTTGACATGAGATTTTTAGCGTCGGAGGCCGCGCATGTGGATTGTGTTGAGTTTTCGTTTCTGTCAAGCACGTAGCGTCCAATGTATACAGCCAGAACTGTGGTGTGTTCTTTCATACTCTCTTTGTCCGTCTGGAAATAATGGTAGCAGTGCTACCAATACACAGAAAAGAAACTCTGAGATCGAAGGATACAGTGATCGAGTTTGGTCCTGAGAAATGTCCCGTCTATTTGCGTTTTCTCTAGATTGGTGGGACGAGTGCGTGATTTGCCAAGCAAATTTCAGTTGGTGTAAAAAGTTCTTTTTCCGCTAATCCACGTATTGTTTTTGGTACCCAACCTATGTTTAACCAGTTTCAGAAGGATCTTCTTCCTATGCATCATATTAATTACGTAATATCAAATTCATATGCCAGAGAGATGTTGACTATGTAGCCGGAACAGGTCAAAGGTTAGAGGCACGGATCAGCCAACATTCACAGAGGTGGCCTATTTACATAGGTGCATTAATGTATAGGGTACAGTGTTAGTTGAACATTTGATTAAAAACCAATAGTATGCTCGGTCTTATAGCCCAGACATGTTCTCAGCGTTGAATAAAGCCCATACCGATTATCACATTAAGGTTTTGAAATCCATATACATTAAGTCCTACCAGCCATCTCACTCTAAGCAAAATGAATGTTTTGGTGGGTAATTAACCTTTAATGTTATATTAATATAACATTAATTTGGATTAATTTTGTCGTCCTCCATTTTGCTTTCATGAGAAAGGACCAATAAACTGGTCTAGCTGTTTTAATTTCAGTATTACCAATTTACGCAAATATTAAAAATGTATACACAGCGTTTCAATATATTTGAATAGACTAAATGAATATGCATATATATTCACATCTTCCACCATTAAATGACATACATTCATGCATAAATATGAAACGGTCCAGAATATATACTAGCTCAGAATTTCTTTCACCCGTTTTTACATTGTCATTTATATACAAGAATATTTAGACATATGCAATGCTTTATCGAGACACCAAGCCAAGACAAATGTATACTCTCTCTGTGTATGCGAGTGTGATTACCAGCCTAAAGGTATTAAGAACAAAAAAGAAAAAAATAGAATGATAAAATGATCGTCTGCTTCCGACGACCGAATACAAGAAGACCGAGCAAGATGGCGGCAATTTTGGTTTGATCGCCGCCAGACATTCATCTGTCCGGCTGTCTGCCTGTCTACATCTGTGCATAATATTGCGTCGTCATATTTATATTAACAGGCCTCAAAGCCCTCTTTACCAGAGACATTTTAAAGAGTCCATCTGCCATGAAGCCCACACTTATCGACAATTCTTTTACCCAACATCTTTTTTATTCTTACTTTTTTTTTTTTTTTTAATATTTTGTCAATCTATCTTCATGCTTACCGTTTGTTGTTTTCGTTCTGAATTTTGTTTCTATTCTTAACTTCTTTCATAGATCGATCTCTTCTTCTAGTTATTATTTTTTGTGGACTTTAAAAAATAGTTCTGTAAAATTTCTTTTTCGCATTGCTTCTTTTGGCTTTTCGTCGAACACGTTCATTGTTAGATGTACGCTTCATTAAGTTCGACCATCTTTTCGTTTTCGTCCTTTATTCTTCACTTGTCTCATTCAGCTTTCTTACGTTTCTTTTCTATTTTCTTTCTCTTCATATTTACCTTCTTTGACTTTTATGGCATTATTATCTTCTTACCATATTTACTTACTATCTAGTGCCTTCCATGACTTACTTTCTTGCATATTTGTCCCTAATTAATGTTTACTTATGATGACAAGCATCACACTGTTTCGGGCAGGAGAAAAGGAAAATAGTGAGCGTGTTGTGGATGAGAGAAATAGGGAAGGGATTCGCCGACCATTGTCAATTTGCTGCTTTCAACTTGTGCTGCGACACCAGACAAATTAACAGCCCCTTAGGAAGTGCTGAGCCAATATCTCTAATACCCCTCCTTCTGTTCGAGTATTTATTGATGTTTGCAGAAAAGAGCCTCCAAAAGCAGGCATAGAAAGAAAGACTTTTGGAGAGTAAATCAACTACGCCTAAATGTGTGCATATATAGATGCCTGCATACACACACACACACACAAGCATAAATAAATAAACACACGCACACATACAAGCATATATATATATATATATATATATATATATATATATATATATAGAGAGAGAGAGAGAGAGAGAGAGAGAGAGAGAGAGAGAGAGAGACATATATGCAAATATAAATATATACAAATATATATATATATATATATATATATATATATATATAAATATATACAAATATAAATATGATTTTTATATATATATATACATATATAATAAATATATACATATATATAAAATAAATACAAATATTAATATATATATATATATATACATATATATAAAATAAGTACAAATATTAATATATATATATATATATATATATATATTATATAAGACGCATACACAGGCAAGAAGTGTGGATGACTGACTTTTCTCTGAAGCCGAAAATTATTTTGAATTGTAAGAAACACTCTTTTCGAGCAAATATTGCGTTAACAATTTTTTTAGAAACACAATCATTTTTTTTTCACTTACATGTCATACTATTTAACCTATAGTATATTTTTACTATGTATAGTAGCCACCATAAGCGTCTTTGTTTTAAGAGATCGAAACATAACTCACGATCCGACCATCTCATGTTTGATAACATAAATGTTGATTTTGTGAAATGGATCTGGAAATTTCTAGTACCCGTTATATATATATATATATATATATGAATATTTCTCTGATTTAACCAGTTAACCGATTTATGAATAAAAATGACAATAGGAAAACTAGTAATTGCTGACGCGTTTCATCCATTTTCGTATTTTGCTTTGATAAAGTCCACATTGGACGAAACGCGTCAGCAATTACTAGTTTTCCTATTGTCATTTATATATATATATATATATATATATATATATATATATATATATATATATGTATGTATGTATATGTGTGTGTGCGCGCGCCTGTATTTAAAAGAAGGGCATAATGAATACTAGAGTACCTCGTGAGGATCAAAATAATTGCACGTTCTTGCCTACCCACTCCCGGTCATGAATAGAGATGTACAGTGCGACATCGGGCATGCTAAAGGCCAGGTAACAGACAAGCAAATCTATGGTACAAAACGGCTTATTTACTATAGCCAATCTTATTTCACCAAGATAAAACACATCTACATTTTAAACTACTTTCAACCAATTAAAGTCAGAAGCCATAAGAGCCATTCCTTATAGATCAACACTTATTGTTATAATTATTATTATTATTATTACTGTAGAGCAGCGTATCCCAACCTTTTTACTCTTGCCTACCACTTAAAATAAATTACATGTCTCGAGGAACCCCTGCGAAAAAAAAATGATATATCATATATTTCTCATTTAATTTTCATCGTAGTTCACGTGGTAAATATCATAGTATATATTTTTAAGTAAGTGGTTTAAGGAAAAAATTAATACTTCTTTGTCAAAGGTTTCGGTATTGCTAAATAAAATTCATACTGTTCGTTTAAAATACTTCATCAGGGAGTTTTCCAAACATAATAGGTTAAATAGGATGATGTCTCTATTACAATAACCAAGAATATACTGTGTGTGTGTTTAGTAATATTACGTATACTGAATTAAATAAAAAATCAAAAGTGCATTAGTTTATCTCATCTATTCTCGCAGAACCTTCGGGTACCTTTTGCGGAAGCTTAGTGTTCCGAAGAACCCCGGTTGAGAAATGCTGCTGTAGAGTAATCGATCATGGTTAAATAGAATTGGCAGAAATGCCCAACAAACAGAATTGACAAAGTTTGCAATAAACAACAAAAGAAAGGAAAGAACAAGGTAAAAATAAAACTAAGTAAACAATATAAGTATGTAATGTAACAGTAATGAGTCAAAAAAAGTTCCCAAACTAATAATGGTTTTAACACACCAAGGAGACAGACAAGTAATGGTAGCACGGTGGAGTAATGGATAGCGGCTTGGATTGAGGACTCGGAGAGCCGAGTTCGAATTCTAGTCGAATCCATTACATTCACTTACGTGCTAATACCCTTGTGAATCCTCTTTCTTCTCCCTCCAGCTATGGGTTCTATAGCCTTGGATGGCAACTGGTCTAGGAGAAGGAAAACTCTGAATTCAAACCTGCTCTTAGATGAGGGTGAATGGAGTCTCTCTGAGCCTTGGTTGGCAATCCATTTAGTGATGGTGTCACGATAAAAAACACCCTTGATAGCCCTAGCGAAGCATCAAGAATTCAGCTATTTGACAATATTATGAACTACACCAAAGTATTAGTGAGTCCAATCTCGGTTGAGGCTGCAAGATGATGATGATGAATGGTAGCGTTCTGACTTTAAAACAAGAAAGAACAGAAATATGGTGGTTGAGAGCGAAAAATGGCCTATCGTATTGACTAGTAAGAAATCCCAGTATGTATCTATATGTTTTGTCTATAGGTTTGGAGAAGGAGTTGTTTTGTTCACTCCTTCTTTTATGTATCGGATCTAAAGATTACATAAACTCACGGCTGTTTATCTGATCATTGACTCGCTTCATTTATTTATTTTGCATCAGATTTTATTTTTTTAAGCCTGGCAGTGACAAATGAAAATTTAACTATAATTCACTAGTAGTGTTTAGTTTACTAGTTGGGTTGCCGAAAAACTTTTGTTAAAGACGGCTACATATTGTTTCTAAAGCAATGTATTAAAAAAAAAAAGTGCGCAAAAGTTTTTCTCTTTCTTTCTTCTTTCTTTTCCTTTACTCCCAGAATGCCTTAGAGAGTGGACGTGTCTCGTTCATCGCCCAAGGAATTTTCTGTACCGAACGAACTTCCTAATATTACGTTCTCAGCGTACTTGAGTTCATACAGGTATATCTATGGTGGTACCAAACCAACACATAAAGAGTTTTTCGCAAATATCAATCTCTTTAATTCATCCATTTTCTATTCTTTCTATTTAGTTTGCTGAGGCAATAAAACATGTTGTTAATTGTACGTAATTGTGTGTATATTCATATTCTCTAGCTTGAGGAAAATTCAATACGTCTACCAACTGATATCACAAAACTATTCTATCAAGTAACCTATCAACCAATATTCTTCAACTGTAGTCCTTCATGTTTGATAATTATATTTTACTTATTAATGATAGATGTATTCCTCCACGGTCTTTTGAACAGGAGTACAAATTTATACCTTGCTTCCTGTTTAGTGTTCGTTTTCCGGATTATTCTAAAGTCTACTTCAACTTCATGCTTCTAACGTCTCCACCTAAACATTGAAATTTTATTAATCTTTTTTTATTTTTCAATAGGAGTAGATAGGATGGCATATTGTCTGATTTACACCACCTCCCCGGTCTTTTGAAAATGAGGTTTATCCCTTGTCTTTGTTTAGGATTCGGTTACCGGTTCCTTGAAAAATATTTTCATTCTCGTTTACCCCCAGTAGCCTCTTGCGTCCTTGTTACATTATCGCTTTCCTTGGGGGTGAATTGATTTAAAAAGTAGATAGGAAATTCCAATCATGTCTACATGAAGAAACTATGTTGAAAAAATTAGAATGACAAAATAAAATTTAACAAGAAAATGAAGATCAGCATGTTGTTTGTAGAGTTTGTATGTCCGCCTTCATGGTTGAAATAATTTCCGATTTCCTTTCATTAAAGGAGAGCGATATTTAAAACAAATAAAGAAACAATATAGAATGCTGGTTTTTCTGCGCAAGCAGGACCACATTATTTGATAAGGTTAGCGTAACAGAACCTTCCTGTTAGAATTTTGCCTTGTGTCGTGCGAAGAATAAGCTGAGGAAATAAATCCACAATTCTTATATTATTATCATCAATCCCATGACTGGGTATGGTCGTAAGGTCACTGAGTAGATGAACACCTGACCAGACCCCATCCACGGGTCTCAGCTGTGTACTAATGTCCGATTACTTGTGAATGATTTTCCAGTTCGCTCAGTGTTGTTGTCAGCACATTTCTTTCTTTGTCACTTATATACGTGAAGTATATTGATATGCCGGCAGTGTAACATAGATATGTGAGCTGAATATTGGTTACTGGCAATGAACTCGGTATGCAGAGACTAAATAACAGCCAAAGCTGATGTATTTAGTTCACACTAACGCACTCGAGAAAGGGATGAATAATCTCGCAA